TCTTGAGGAGTTTGCCCCCTCACATATACTAATGTGCCACAAACAGGACTTTAATATCACCAACCATTCCCATGTTATTACGGTGTATCCATATAAATGGCCTACCCTGTAGAATGAGAAAGCTTCTGTAATAAAAGTGTTAGGGGCACACCACCATTTTGAGATCTGTGGCAACGTGTCATGCAGGACACATATCCCTTATAGAAGTAATAAAGCGTTAAATGGTCTATTGAGCATTGTTTTGTCTTCCATCGGATGCCTCTGAGGAATCAAAAGAACTCAGCGAAGTGTTGATATTTACAATAGTGTATGCAGTAGTGTAGCGAGGAATGCCCAGACCTCTACATTGGATAGACCAAACAACCACTTCATAAATGCATGGCACAACATAGAAGAGCCACCTCAATGGGACAAGATTAGGCTGTCCATCTGCATCTAAAGGACAAAGGTCACTCTTTCGAGGATGCCAATGTTCACATTTTGGACAGAGAAGACAGATGGTTTGAAAGAGGAGTGAAAGAAGCCACCTACGTCCACTGTGAATAATTATCTTTGAACAGAAGAGGTGGTTTACAACACCAACTGTCTGCCATTTCTAATCCAATTTTGAGATCCCTTGCCAGATGCCTTAACGGTCACAGTCAGAATACGGTCCTCTCAAGTTAGTATTGTCATGATGGTACTGAGTGACAGACAGAAGAAAGGACTCACAGACAGGGAAATAAACGCAAAGAGGCAGATTTATTGTTGTAGCAAAAGATACTCTCAAACACCAAAATATACAAAAATACTAATAAATAAAACCACACACATACACAACCCAAGAACTGGAGGTTTCATTAGGAACATAATAATGATGAAACAAGAATAGGTATGTCCCAACTGCTGAACACAGAAACTAAAACTAAGGAACTAAGCTGGGAAAAAGGCAAACTGGGAAGACAGAAGAGCAACACCAAACGCAGTTCGGACACAAGCATTTCACTGCATATCGTAGTTTGTATGACTGTGCATGTGGCGAATAAAATTAAAACTTGAAAGTAAAACAAACTTGGAGAAAAGGTTGATAAAACAATGTGAAAAAGAGGGTGTCAGGTTTATATTGTTGATTGTCATTTATGCTTAGAAATATTTACTCATATATGCTTAGAGTTTATAGTTGATGTCATATTGATAGGGGTCTGATCCTTAGTAGTCTGCAAAGACTTTGTGTGCATTCCAGAGTGTTCTGGCATTCACACCCACATCCTGGGAGCATGGGAGAGGTCGTACCTTATTTTATTGTTTCATGGTAGGATAAACACATCTATATCTGTTTTAGTATAAGTGCCTTATGTTTAGATGGACTGCTGGACTTCCAGACCAGCAGGTTTAGGGAAGTCGTTTATGGGGTCACATTCTGACCCCACACACACATACTTACACACACACAGACAGTACTCTTTGTTCACATGTATACCTATGTAAGACGTCATGTGTTAATGAGCCTATGAATATTCATGTAACCTCAATAAAAGAACAGTATTACGAGGGAGCAGACGAGAGCAACCGGAGTCGGGCGAAGGAATGGCGCTCGTCCAGTTCTCTCCCGTGCACAAGAATCATAAAGAACTTTGCCTGCTTGTGTCTTGCTTTGCTGTGTAGTTGAATTGTCTTGAATGTTCCAGCGAATAGGTTTATGCTACAAACCTATCAGAGGGAAGGTATGATAACAGAACCTAAAGACTAGAAATTACAAATATTACATAAAGCAGAAGAACAAATACAAGAACAGAAATAGAAATAAACACTAAATATTACAATATTCAATAAAACTGAAGCTAGAAAAAGCTAATGCCCCAAAGCA